TTCCGTAGGTCATCACTGGCAACACGCACTGGTGGTACAACCTTGTTTTCAGGTTTTGAGGTAGGTATACCTGACGAGAAGATGCGTCGTAATTTCCCGAACGCTGCCCAGCCGAGTTAAATCCGTCGATTGACCTCTCGGTCGAAGTTGGACTTACCTAGTCAGACTATTTGTCCCAGGTAAACGTACTCGTCAACAACTTCCAGCTTAGTGCTCCCAACAACTACCGACATAGGTGTGACACGGACATTAAACATGATATTTGTTTTGTCCATGTTCATCTTATGATCTATCCATTGAGAGGCACTATTGAGTGAAACTATTAAATGTGGTATATATCTCCACAAATTCCATCTTTATAATTAATCAGATTATCTGAAATTCTCTCGTGAGGCGGAAAAATTTTGTCATTTTTTGGGGTATTTTTTTAGGTTACCTGTCCCAGAGCTCGATGTAAAAGAACATAATAAAATACAATACAAATTTCTAATTATTTATTCACTTAAAATACATAACTTAAAGAAATGTAGAAAACTGTTTATCAAATAATTTAGTTTGTCACTGCCATCTTCATAATGTGTTTTAAGTGACAAGAAATTTTTCTTCCACATGTTCTACTAATTATATATATGAGAAAGAAATATGAAAGCATGTACCACCTTTCTCTCAAAATTTTACAAAGCTTACCATAGTTTAGGCTTATTCCAATAATCTGTGCTTCCTTGGAAATTATACAGGGTTATTTTGTGATAACCGGTCAAATTTGCAGAGAAGGTACAAGATAACTAATATAGGCCGTTAAAAAAAATCTCAAACTTTGTATCCTTTTTATCTCTTAAATTCAAAATGCGCAGTAATGCATTGTAAGTGATTTTACTGCACACGCACATTCGTAAGAGTAATAATAATCTTGCCGCCGTCCCGGTGAGTCACTTAGGAATGTCAAAGTACTTACATACATAGCTTGCTACATATTTATTTATCTATGCTTACATAGACACAGCCTAGTAGCCAGAATTCTACACCAGGAGCTCGCTCTGAAATACGGTCTCGTGGATCGGAAACTGCCTTATATGTGCTATGTACTTAACGGAAGCCGTGCTCGAAAATGACCGCGCCAGGCTCTACTGGGATCGGGCCATCATCATAGACAGGACTATTCTTGCGAATAAACCTGATATTGTGCTGATGGACCGGGCACAGTCAAGGATATTTTTGGTCGTCATTACCATTCCATATGACGAGAACCTAGTGAAAGGCTCACGAGGTGACCGACATGTGGGGTGGTCTGCCGACCGAAATTTTTCCCTATTTATTATTTATTGAATATATATTTTATTTATTTATTGAATCCAAATATACTCTACATAAAAACATATACTTACAAAATTACATTGATAAGATGTAAATCTAACTCAATAGTACATTGAGGTATCTTTAGCAACCGTGCTAGGTCACAGACCTGTGTTACAGCTGCTAAGCCCTCCCCATTAAATACATATCAAATAGAAAAACAAAAACATAAAAACAATTTACCGCAATCAAGAAATGAATAAAAGTGGAAAGAAGTAAAATAATTAGCTATGTGCTATGTTCTAATCCGACAAATGGCTCAATACTATTATAGCTAAATGTTTAGTTGTATGGTACAAGAGTAAGGCAGGAGAGATATTCTATAAATGTGTCACACACTTATATTAATATTCAAATGTTATAGTAAACATTTACAAGAACTTATTCTATATTTCACATAGAAATAATTGAAACTTAGCGAGTAGTGACTCAGTTAAAATTTCATTTTCTTAAAACAATAAAATATAATATGCAAAATGTTCATTTAATATTGGAGATTTGTTAATCATAAACCAATATTAAAAGTTTAGAAGTAAGTATAAAATTAATACGTAGATGCCAGTGTGTAGTATGAGTGTGTGTGTGTGTGTGTGTGAAAGGAGTGAGTGTGTGTTATTATTTTGCTTAACAGTTTGCATTTTTAACTATCTATATTTAATAATTTTTCAGTTTCCTCGTAAGATAAAGATATTAAAAATTAGTTAGAGCTTGCTTATATTTGAAACATGTTAGTCGATCGGTAGGCAAAAACGTTGTTGCCCATAAATCGGATTCAATTTGGGATAGTTGCAAATAAAAGAAGAAGCTTTATTTACTGATATTTTAAAAAATTGCAATAATATTATATCATTATTTATGTATTTAAGCTTAAGTTACGAATTTGATTGAAAAATATAATATAATATGTATATAATGGCAACAATATTTATCATTTTATTAGTCTGGACCCAAAGGGTGTTAAAAAAAGATTGTTATACTAAGCCTACAATGTTGGTCTTGCGGGCTTAGTATTACAGTCCAGACGGAATGTAACAGCCATGCATCCGACATCGCCTAGTATATGTATACTAGCCGCCTAATAGCAGGTGATTCTAAGGTACAGAATAACATTTCTCAAACTTGCATAATACTAGAACACTACTGAAGGGAGGAGACAAAATTTCTTTAGCAAAATTATTTCTGTCTATTAAGTCATTAGATGAGTTAAAACAAGAAAATAAAAATCAATACTGATTACAATATTTCAATTACCTATGTAAAAAAGGACAAAATAATATAGATGATTTACAATTATGAATGTATTGATAATATCATGCACAATTAAAAACCCTAGCATGTCTACAATACCTAAAATAGCAATATTTGAATCAAAAACAAGTTAAATAATAAATAAGCTCATGTACACAAGAGCAGAGTAAAACCAGCAAATAATAATTTCATTTTGACAATAATTGGTTGTCTATTTATTTCCCTGATTTAAAATTAACCTTAAAATTTTGTCTCTATATTATATGCTTGCAGTTACGACGTAAATAGAATAAATTTTATTCAAAACTACAAAACTTATTAGAGAATACTTGATTACAAAACTCATTAAGTAATTAATGTTTTTACTCGTTTGGGAAAAGCCTCTGTCCTATGTAGAAAACAAGCAGAAGCCAAGCGGGTCATTTGAACAAAATGTTATTTAGAATACAATGTTTTACAATTAAATATTAAAACATTTAGAAGAAACATTAATCACCCCATTCCCAGGGGTTTATCAATCGTATATTTTATTATAATAACCTTTTTTTGAACAACTTTTCTTAGTTAAAAATTTTCAGTTTTTGATAGACTGCATATTTTATGACTTGTAAAAACATATACTATTGCCCCATGAAGGAAAACTTATTCTTTGAAGTGGAATAACTGATATAACTAGCTTGTACTTGTTCCTAGTATTTACAGAATATACATTACTATTTTTAATAAAAAACTATTGTTGCTTTTGTGTACATTAAATTAACAAAAACAAAAAACAAAAATAATAAAAAACATACATTAAATTTTCATAAAACTACTAAAACGCTATAGTTAATATATTTACTTCTAAAAAACTTTCTTGAAAAGACTCCTTCGGACTTAGGTTGTAAAGTGCTCTCATGGCTCTCTTCTGCAAAACTAAGTTATTTCAATGTGAAATGCATTAACCCCATTGCAAGATCCCTTATGTAATAAATATGGCGTATCAAAGGGTCACTATCTCTTTGTTATGGAATGCAAAATATAGTTGTTGCACATTTGCACCCAAGATAGAGAGAACTTGTAAATTTACTCCGTCCATGTCACACACTGTTGCAGATATATTCATCCCAGCCTGAGAGCCTGGAAGTTATGCCAACTATGACTGATTCAAGACCTGAAATCAAAAATTAAATATGTTTTACTACCGTTGAGCTTTTATAATCAACTTTAATTTCAACTGTTGAAATAAAATGAAACATCATACAAAGTACTAATAATTACCTCTTTTATTAGTACAGTAAGATGATTTGCAGCTAAAAATGCATTGGAGAAATAGTGAGCAATGGGCTGTTTCAGTCTTCCTAGTACTAACAATCATAAATACTAATGCATATGATGCAATGACTGAAGATGTTCCTTGTGTTCTATGATCCTAATACACTTCAATCAAATCTTCTTTGGGTTTATACATCACATTTTTTTAAAGACATTTCATCAAATATCAATATAAATTGATTGTCTGATGGTTTTATAGTATTTAAAAAATCTGCCAGGCCATAAAAACTGGTTGATTGATTCCAATAGCAAAGAGTACTCAGTTAACCCTTTAATAGAGCCTGAGTAGCCTGTAACAGGTGGGTGACCTTTTATAAAGCCACATGGCTTTGATTTTCATATGTCATGTAGCTTTTTCTTTCAATTTCCTATTTGAACTTGTAATTACAGCGCAAATGTTGATGTTATTTTCTTGGATAATTTTCTTACTGTATTTTCATTAGCTAAACACTTAATACAATTTTGGCTTTTAATGTTTTAATGTGATTACGCAATTGGTAGAATTTTCTCATGTATCACTTTCTTTAATTTTCTTTATTCGTCATGCAGCACAGTTTTTAGTCTCTATCCCATATCCCACTGCGAATCACTGTCAAACACATTGCACGCGCGTCCAGACTCTCGATTTCTTTCTTTTTTGTTGTAAATGTACAGTACAGGTACTTAAAAAAATAAAACCTCTTCTCATCACTTGAATCCATTTTGTTGAAAATGTTGAAAATTCTCTGTCTCGATTAAAAAGTGTCTACAAATACAATATTAACGTCAAACTTATCTTTCAACATGACAATATTTCTACAAATTTGTTTTCAAACATTTTGTTTCTGCAGTTATTTAAATATAATATAGTTATAATATGTAGTGTACAATAAACTGTCAAACATATTTAATTACAATATGTTTAGTGACTATGCAAACGCTTTTTGGTACATTGACAGAAAACAGTGTTTAAAACATGTTTTTTCGTGAAAATCGCGTCAGTGCAAACGCACGGTTATCTATGGTTCCGATTTACGATCCCGAATTTTTGTTTAAAAATATTATGGATCTTGATAATTTATATGGATATAACCTTTCTAATTCTAATGGCTGAAAGAATCGCAAAAGCTTATAAAGTGCTCAAAGAAGAATCTGTTGGTAAGTATAAAATTTAGTTATGCTTTTTTATTTTTGAAGTATAACAATAATGTATTTGTTCCCCTTTCCCATGTGTTCGCCGTGTAGTGGAGAATTCAATCCATTACTTCATATTATCCATAGATAAATAAATATGTAGCAAGCTCATATTATCCTCTTTTGGGTGTCGTAAGTCGTAACAGGTGACATTGAATTGACAATAAAGGAGATGGGCAGCAGCATCTTTCTGATAACAATTAAGACAATAAAAAATTTTTACTGTCAACACGCCTGCTAATCGTGGTGACTATGTCCATAAATAAATAGATATGTTCAAGATCAACAAAAAAAACCTTTGATTTCCACAATTTGTAAAGATTGTAAGTCTTGAGAAATCATTTTGATTAGAGCTAAAGATTTTTTTTATTTCTGCTTGTATGCAATGCTTTAGATCTTGCAAGCTGTAGTTGCTGAAAATATAGTTTCTTTGAGGCAGCACTTTCACCTTCACTAGTTGAAGAACATGCACAAGATGAACTTGACTCACCCCTAATATCCTTATACTGAATCTGATGTTTATTCTTCATATTATGAGAAATCAACTACTGCTTGCAACTACTTACAACTACAGTTTGCCCTTTTAACTTTTTTTGCACAACTTGCAAATAACTGTTTTTAGTTCCATATTATTATGCGTAAAACGAACACACAATATCTTTTTGGAACTCACTCATTTCGAACATGTACTAATAGCAAAAAGTCTTAAATAAACATATTACTAAATACAAACAACACACTCCCTCATTCGCTCTTAATTTTGAATGGAACATACATCTGCTAAACCTGTCTCAACTTAAATTTCTCACTTGAGTCGGTACAGGCCACTCGATATGTCCGAGTCATTCAAGTTGAATAGAGTCGCTTGTAATTCAAGTGGTCATAAAATATTACTTGAGTGCGAGTAAAATAAAAATAATTGATAGAATCAGTCATTACTTTGTGGATATCCATTACAATAAAGATATTAATAGTTACTTTGCAACCATCCGCTCAATTAAATAAAATGATGTGTCTTACCTAGTTTGAAGAGCACCTCCTGTCCTTCCTCAAGTGTGTGCACTGATCCTGTCACCATTAATCCCAGCACCACTACTCCCAACACCACTATTCTAGGAAAGACACACCATCGACGATAATACGACATGTGTTTTGCCTCTACACGAGGCATATTCAGGTGATGTTGACTCTACGGCGGCTCACCGCTAAGTCAACTCACTTTTCTTACGTAACTTAAGTGCAGTACACACCAGAAGAGCAACCGTTATATCTTAGTGTTCTTTCATAGAATATGGTGTTGCAAGTAGTGGTGTTGAGAGTAGTGGTGTTGGGAGTAGTGGTGTTGGGAGTAGTGGTGTTGGGAATGATGGTGTTGGGAGTAGTCATGCTGGGATTTGTGGTGACAGGATTAGTGCACACAATTGAGGGAGGGCGGGAGGTGCTCTTCAAATTAGGTAAGACGCATCATTTTACTTAATTAAGCGGCCGGTTGCAAAGTAACTATTAATATCTCTATTAAAATAAAAACTACTCGAGTCACTCGAGTGGAGCACGGCTCGATTCCCATCACTATCTTGCATATGAGGCAATCTATATGAAAGTTCAGCAATAGACTTTTAATAGGCTTTAATTAATGAAATGAATGAAATATTTGTTTCCATGATATTTTCAGCATTGTACCTTGGTGGTTCTGTACCTGAAATTGGTTTTATAGAGCCTCTGCGGTTTTACCGAGAGTATGCAGCGAAGAATATTCCCGTAGTATTAAGAAGAGGTTGTGCTAACTGGCCAGCAACTTTGAAATGGAATATCAAATATTTTCGGTAAGTGATTTTATCATTAAACTCATTTATTATTGCCAAAAAAACATAAACTCTTTCATTTTGATAAAAATATTACACAAAAATAAACCACAAGAAGAAGAAGAAGTTGGATTCCTTTTTCACCTTGAAATTTGCTGCTAAGCAGAATAAGTGAGATGAGTATCTGAAATTGGTTGAAAATTGTGTCCATGGACTCCTGTAGTTCTAACCATTGGGTGTACTGTTAGTGCTCTTTTTTTAATCAAATTGTTAGACAGGCTGTGAGCCACATTTATTCTTGATTAAGCATAAAATTGTAGACATGTTATCCAGTTACTCGCATTTTGTTATTCTTACAGCGAGCGTTAAGTATCTGAGCTACCGTAGCACTAATAATTTACATTAATGTAAATTATAAATCAATTAAAGGCATATTTAAAAGTTTATTGGTTGTATATACAAAAATCAACTATTAACATATACTATTATATAAACTTCTATATCTTTATTTTATTAAAATTTAAAAACACTACTTTTGTAGTAGACAGCCATGCCTTCGATCACTTATAAATATACAGTATACACTAACTAACCGATAACTAACACAAAATTAGGTAGAATGTGATGAATAACACACTGCTGGTCCGAATTTGCATCACAAATCCACTCCTAATGCGATAGCTGGATGCCAGTGTTTCTGTTAGAGCTAGTTGCCGCTAGATATTCATAGCGTCAAAGCGTCATAGCGCCATGGCGACTACTTACATAGCACTTACTGTGCACTATGGAAAGATAGCACGCTATAATATGGCGGCATTATGCGCTATAGAGTGTAGTCCTACCCCAGACATGGTGGCCTATTTGTGTTGCATCCATAATATAGCTTGTCACTTTAAAGCAGTCAAGGGGAAATATAACCTCAAATGGTTTAGCAAGATCCTCCGTTATGCCGAAAATATTGCAGCGTTAATTTTGCAATAAATGTATGTTAAAGTTGAGGATTAATGTTAAGTACTATGTTAGACGAAAACATGATTCCGTAAAATTTTCTCAATAGAAAAAAAATCCAAAGTTACCTCCAAACTGAACAATAAACTGCTGTTATTCATAAAATACTTTAAATAAGATCATGAAACTTTGCATACTTACTGAACTAACTATAAAGCAGGGCTTATGTTTTTTTTTTTAAATTACCATTATTTTCACTGTAAAAAGAAATTACCTAAACTATCGGCGTCTAACATAGTACTTAACATTAATCCTCAACTTTAACATATATTTATTTCAAAACTAATGCTGCAATATTTTCGTCATAACGAAGGATCTTGCTAAGCCATTTGAGGTTATATTCCCCTTAAGATCTGGTATATATTATGGTCTAAAAAAATTCTTAAAACAATTTAAAAATTATGTGTTATGTAATACAAAGAATGTATTTCTAAGCATACTTTATTATAGATCATGATGACTGTCGTTAGTTAATTGTAAATGCTTATTTACTCCTAAAAAAAACTTCATTTTAGGGAAAAGTTTTCACACAAAAAAGTTTCAGTGGCTGTGACACCAAATGGCTTAGCAGATGGAATAACTAAAGATCAGCATGGAGTTGAGCATTTTGTCACACCATGTGAAGTAGAGATGACTATGGGAGACTTTCTGACAATGCTGGAAAACAAAAGGTTATTATATTTCTATTGTTATTTTTTTATTCTATTAAACCAGAATTACCTGAAGTTATTATTTAAAAAAAATGGTGTACATAAAGAGTAAAAGGACTGGCCTTTTGTTTACTAAAAATGTAAGTAATTACAGGATTATGCTTATTAATAAATAATGAGGCACATTATGAAAAAAAAATGTTATTTTATTACATAGCTGGCCCATTGTTATGCTCATTCCGGTAGGGTAGTAGCAATGAGTTTTACTCTGAATTCACTTCAGATTTTTTACAATGTTGATATTGATTTATTATAAATAATCTACAGTGCCACCTTTTTTGGACTTAAACAAGATTAATGTATGTTGTAAATATTACTTAAAGCCTGGCCGCTCAGACAATGCGATCCTGACAGGTCGAGATCGAACGAACGATGTAACTTTGAAGTAGTGTAGCATTTTCGATTAAAAATATATATATTTTAATTCATCAATCCAATTAGACCATTTGACCATTATGTAAAGTACATTGTTGTATGTAACTTTTGCAATGATTAAAATGTTAAATAATGAAGAAACGGATGTTATTTACAATGTTTATTGTTTATATTTCCAATCCATATTACGCTGTTACAAGGATAATTCAACTGTACATTTTTGTAGTGATGTACCAAAAGTAAGGCCAATAGTAACGTTGCCTATCATATTTCTAAGTGACACACCTAAAATGATGGGCAATAGTAACATTGCCTGACATATTTTAGTACATATTAGTTTTTATTTCTAATAATTTGAAAATATATCATCAGAAGATAAATGAAAAAAAAAAAATATCTCGGTTTAAAAGCAGCTGGTTTGTTTATGGGAGGTAAAACAGCCTTATCCAAAGTTTTAAGACAAATTGGTTTTGAATATAAAAAACTGACCAGAGAAAAGTTCTTCTGGTAAAGCTATTATTTTAAAGTGAGTATCTTTTTTAAGAGAAGCAAGGAAAATTGATGATTGAAACAATGTAGTTTCCATCGACGAGACATGGCTAAATGCCAATCACACAGTGTCTTGGACAGATGGCACAGCAGCATCGACGTCGAAAGTACCGATGGGTAAAGGGTTTTTTAGCATATCTATAAATCATTGTCCATACATACAAAATCTATTGCGTGAATATAATCTGTAACTGAAACTAAAATAATGTATATTTATTTTGTAGTAGTTTAAGAAACAATTTTTGTTTTAGCGAAAATTTAATACCGTATATACAGCGCCAGAATTCTAATTTAACTGAAGACTTCCCAGAGCTGATTCGAGATGTGGAGACAGATATACCTTTTGCGAGTGAGGCATTCAATAAGAAACCGGATGCAGTAAATTTTTGGATGGGAGATGAGCGAGCTGTTACATCGAGTGAGTTGTTTTGTTTTATGTTTTAATGAGTGTATAAGCAATAAGTTTGTATAATAAAAACACATTCATTTAATCATATCCACTTAGAAATTTAAGAACTTAACAATCCAAGACAAACATCCTGACAAAAAAATTTTGGTTATTTTTTTTCTGTTTATTGTGATGTTAGCATACCTTAACATTTTTATTTATTTGAACTTTAATGTAAACCTAATGACTAAAGGGACTAAGCAATTAAGCTAAGCAATGATAAACTTATATAAATTATGCAATATTTACAATAAAGAGATAAAAATAATGATTGTCATAGTTGCGGGCATACACTTTTAATGTCTGATGAAAGAAGGGCAAAATATTTTAGTTTGATCTAACTTATTTTTCATTGTTCCTTCCTTTTATTGTTCAATTTTCGAGAACAATTATTATCAAATACATGTTCAAAAGAGAAAGTACCTTATGGTTATGGAATTAAGATTGAGTCTTACTTGTACTATTCTTATGCCGATACTTTGTTTGAGGGAGAGCATTTTAATCATTATCATCTAGTTGTAAGTACCTACATGAATAAATGTTGCTGTATTTGAAAGAAAGAAAGAAAAAATATTTATTTTTGACACACACAAGGCATCAAAACACAGAAACAAAGTCAAAACAAAAAAATAACAAATTATGAACAAACAAACAGCCAGTTAAAATTAGGAAAAAAAAATTATACATTGTCGTGAAGCGACAATTAAAAACTAAATAACCTAACCTAACTACAACAAAACAACCAAAAATAAAATAAATTATTTAAAAATTTGAAAAGATTTACAGTTTCTTTTATAAAAAAAGGTATGAAGGTGATGATGGGCTGTAATGATGATAGTGATTTACAATATTATTAAAAAAAAATAACAAAAATAAAGATACTGCAACGAAGTATGCACAGGCTATGCCTATGATAGGTGCGCAGCGCCTGCTCTAGGTACACGCAGAATCTGGAGAAAGCACATGCAGCGTCTGGAGAAGGTACACGCAGCGCTTGGAGTAGGCCCACGCAACGCCCGGAGCAGATACACGCAGCACCCGGAGTAGACACGCAGCGTCTGGAGTAGGTACACGTGGCGCTTGAAGTAGGCAAACACAACGTCTGGAGTAGACACACACAGCGTCCGGAGTAGACACGCAGCGTCTGGAGTAGGAACACGCAGCGCTTGAGACAAACACGCTCAGCGGCCGAAGATAGCGCGGGCACTAATAGGTGGAGGCGTAGGCGTGGCTAGGCGACGACTTCAGGAGAAGGCTTGCAAGATCCCGAGGCAGTGCGGATTAAGCCTTTAAGAGGTGCTTCTCGTATCAAAACTGAAGTGAGGACCTCTATCGGCCGATTCTTCGGCTTTTATATCTTTTGACGGATCTGGGATAAGAACGAGAAATTATTTGAAATTATTTAAATTAAAAGCAAATTTTTGTAAATGGCCAAGAAGAAAAGAGTATTTTTTGAAGTAAAAACATCAGGCCGGTAATAATATTTGAATAAAAATTGCCACGACAACCAGATAAACAACGATGTCAAAACATGTCAAATTTTGGTTTTAAGCTCGTAATACAGAAACGGCAAGATTTAAGTGAAAAATGAGATATTATTTATATAGGAAAAAAGGTAGCGCAAGAGCGCGCACGAAACCCGAAATTGTAGAGTTACGGAGAACTAAATAAAAGATCGAAAAAGGTAGACTCCATTGACACCGATTTAAAAAGTGCTGATAACGTGAAAATACGAAGTGAAAATGATTTGTTATTGTGTTCTTATGAATTAAAAATATTACAGGATCCTATGGAAATAAAGGTGATGCAAAATATCCAGTTTTGAGGTGAATGTAGAAAATCAAAAACAGAATGGAAAAATAAAAATAAAATAGTGTAAAATGATATGTAAGTATGTATGTAAGCATAACACTACATTTTCCCCCCGACCCTGGAAAATTTTTGACTCAGCAAAAATTTTGAGATGTACATTCCAAAATAAACCATAAAAACACAGCTTTGCAGTAACAGACATCACCAGGCAATATCAGATATACTATCTCTTACATTCATCATCTGCATTCAGGTAAGGGTGGAGTTCACATTCAATGACTACCACTCTAAAAGTGTGTTTTCGAAAGGACATTCAGGCTTATTTAAGGAGTTGTCATCCGCTCCTGCGTGGAAAAAAAAACATTTTGAAAGGACATCCAGGCTTATTTAAGGAGTTGTCATCCGCTCCTGAGTGAAGATAAAGTTAAAGAAATTAATCTTAAGCAAGCTTTAGCCGCTATGACTTAAGTAAAGATTAAGAACGGCCAGAGCGGTAGGGCTCAAAGCCAGAGATGAGCAACATCACTAAAAGTACATTCAGGCTTATTTAAGGAGTTGTAATCCGCTCCTGAGTGAAGATAAAGATAAAGAAATTAATCAGGTAATAATTATACATATATACAAACACATATACAAATATACAAACACATATACAAATATACAAACATATATACAAATGTAGTGTCATGCAAAACAGTATTAGCTGGTTCCTCACATCTAATCTTCACTTCGTATTTTAAGGAATTCGTACTTAATAACCCTTTTCATTGTTATAATTAAGTGCAAAGTTAAGTTTAAGAAATAAAAATTTAATTAAAAATTGTACCTCTTTAAGTTATCTAGAATAAAAATATTAAAGTGATGAATGTAAGTCAAGTGTTATATGTAGGTCTAAATATAATCCAGATAAGTTGAAAAACTAGATGAAGCTTTGTTTTAGAATTTGGAAGATAGTACCTCTTTAAGTTCTCTAGAATAAAAATATTAAGGTGATGAATGTAAGTGTTATATGTAGGTCTAAATATAATCCAGATAAGTTGAAAAACTAGATGAAGTTTTGTTTTAGAATTTGGAAGATATGATAAGGATGAGTAAATAAAGAGTTAAGAACGAAAGAGAAAGCAATTCAATCAAAAGGAAATGGATAAGGCGTAGCTAAGGTGAAGAAAAGAAGAACTTTTACGTCGGGCGCCAAATTGTCGTGAAGCGACAATTAAAAACTAAATAACCTAACCTAACTACAACAAAACAACCAAAAATAAAATAAATTATTTAAAAATTTGAAAAGATTTACAGTTTCTTTTATAAAAAAAGGTATGAAGGTGATGATGGGCTGTAATGATGATAGTGATTTACAATATTATTAAAAAAAAATAACAAAAATAAAGATACTGCAACGAAGTATGCACAGGCTATGCCTATGATAGGTGCGCAGCGCCTGCTCTAGGTACACGCAGAATCTGGAGAAAGCACATGCAGCGTCTGGAGAAGGTACACGCAGCGCTTGGAGTAGGCCCACGCAACGCCCGGAGCAGATACACGCAGCACCCGGAGTAGACACGCAGCGTCTGGAGTAGGTACACGTGGCGCTTGAAGTAGGCAAACACAACGTCTGGAGTAGACACACACAGCGTCCGGAGTAGACACGCAGCGTCTGGAGTAGGAACACGCAGCGCTTGAGACAAACACGCTCAGCGGCCGAAGATAGCGCGGGCACTAATAGGTGGAGGCGTAGGCGTGGCTAGGCGACGACTTCAGGAGAAGGCTTGCAAGATCCCGAGGCAGTGCGGATAAAGCCTTTAAGAGGTGCTTCTCGTATCAAAACTGAAGTGAGGACCTCTATCGGCCGATTCTTCGGCTTTTATATCTTTTGACGGATCTGGGATAAGAACGAGAAATTATTTGAAATTATTTAAATTAAAAGCAAATTTTTGTAAATGGCCAAGAAGAAAAGAGTATTTTTGAAGTAAAAACATCAGGCCGGTAATAATATTTGAATAAAAATTGCCACGACAACCAGATAAACAACGATGTCAAAACATGTCAAATTTTGGTTTTAAGCTCGTAATACAGAAACGGCAAGATTTAAGTGAAAAATGAGATATTATTTATATAGGAAAAAAAGGTAGCGCAAGAGCGCGCACGAAACCCGAAATTGTAGAGTTACGGAGAACTAAATAAAAGATCGAAAAAGGTAGACTCCATTGACACCGATTTAAAAAGTGCTGATAACGTGAAAATACGAAGTGAAAATGATTTGTTATTGTGTTCTTATGAATTAAAAATATTACAGGATCCTATGGAAATAAAGGTGATGCAAAATATCCAGTTTTGAGGTGAATGTAGAAAATCAAAAACAGAATGGAAAAATAAAAATAAAATAGTGTAAAATGATATGTAAGTATGTATGTAAGCATAACACTACAACATAATATATATTCTTAAAACTAGTGCCTCAGGGTGACGCGGAAAGATAGGAACCAATTCAGCATGACGTCAGGTTGGAAACCTAACGCTGATATTCTATTGGCCCCCTGGATTGCATTCGTCTTCACCTCTAAAACCAGTTACCGTGCACTTCCACAAGAACAATCAGTATATGTGAACTCTATGAAAAATCATATATAATTACTTATATAATAAATGATTAATAAAATATGTATATAATATATGACAAGATACTAATTAAATACTTTATTATTAGCAAGATACTGCGCGTGAAACTGTAACAACATAAACATCAGCAAAAAATAAAGAATAAAATATGTAAATTCAGCATGACGTCAGGTTGGAAACCTAACGCTGATATTCTATTGGCCCCCTGGATTGCATTCGTCTTCACCTCTAAAACCAGTTACCGTGTACTTCCACAAGAACAATCAGTATATGTGAACTCTATGAAAAATCATATATAATTACTTATATAATAAATGATTAATAAAATATGTATATAATATATGACAAGATACTAATTAAATACTTTATTATTAGCAAGATACTGCGCGTGAAACTGTAACAACATAATAACATCAGCAAAAAATAAAAAATAAAATATGTAAATTCAGCATGACGTCAGGTTGGAAACCTAACGCTGATATTCTATTGGCCCCCTGGATTGCATTCGTCTTCACCTCTAAAACCAGTTACCGTGTACTTCCACAAGAACAATCAGTATATGTGAACTCTATGAAAAATCATATATAATTACTTATATAATAAATTATTAATAAAATATGTATATAATATATGACAAGATACTAATTAAATACTTTATTATTAGCAAGATACTGCGCGTGAAACTGTAACAACATAATAACATCAGCAAAAAATAAAGAATAAAATATGTAAATTCAGCATGACGTCAGGTTGGAAACCTAACGCTGATATTCTATTGGCCCCCTGGATTGCATTCGTCTTCACCTCTAAAACCAGTTACCGTGTACTTCTACAAGAACAATCAGTATATGTGAACTCTATGAAAAATCATATATAATTACTTATATAATAAATGATTAATAAAATATGTATATAATATATGACAGGATACTAATTAAATACTTTATTATTAGCAAGATATTGCGCGTGAAACTGTAACAACATAAACATCAGCAAAAAATAAAAAATAAAATATGTAAATTCAGCATGACGTCAGGTTGGAAACCTAACGCTGATATTCTATTGGCCCCCTGGATTGCATTCGTCTTCACCTCTAAAACCAGTTACCGTGTACTTCCACAAGAACAATCAGTATACGTGAACTCTATGAAAAATCATATATAATTACTTGTATAATAAATGATTAATAAAATATGTATATAATATATGACAAGATACTAATTAAATACTTTATTATTAGCAAGATATTGCGCGTGAAACTGTAACAACATAAACATCAGCAAAAAATAAAAAATGAACTATGTAAATCAAAATAAAATATAGAACATAAAATCTCTCAAATAACCATCAGATATAGGACATGTTAGCATTAGTGTTAACCATGCGTAGGTCTTTTTGTGCATTTAACAAGTACTGTTTTAGGTGACTTTTGAAGGTAGTTATAGAGCTTAGCTGCCTTACTTTTTTATGAAGTGTTCTGCTGTGATATACAAGGTAACTGTCCAACTGTTCCTGGCTATTACATCCCATCTGCTTCTTATTTTTTTTTATTATATTATCTTACTAGTTGTGCCCGCGACTTCGTTCGAGTGGAATCAGTACTTTTGCTATTCTAAGTGGTAATGATTTATTTGTAAATTAAACTGTCGCAAAGGCTTAGAAAGACATTAATCTGAATAAAAACATTCAGTTAGTCGGTCAATCAGACAAACAAACAAACAAATGGACCAAAAAAAGAACAAAGAAACCAATAGGGCAAACTGTATGCCCTTGTGCTTGTGTTTTATTTTGTAAATAAAGAACAACATGACCGCAGTAATATAAACCCTATTTAGCTCCCTAATTCTGCTATTCAAATTCAAATTGTTTATTGCATGTCACATTACAATTTTAAGATGGTACAATTTTGATAGGTATTCATGTGACGCCCTGTAAGGGCATAGCAACACTAGAGGGCTACTAACTATTTTTGTATTATCTAATTTTTAAACATAAATTATAAAATATCATATCATCAAAATTCAATATTATTTTATATAAATTAATTTAATTTGAAATATAATGTACCTAGCCGAAGTATTCTTACTTTTTCGTTATATATCGTCAAAAAATTTATTTAAATTGTAATAACATTTATTAATAAAAAATCAGAATAACTATATCAATCATAACTTTTGTTAGGACTGACCAATTTTAATAAAACAAAGACTAACGAAGATACGCTTCACGATTTTCCTAACAATTATTTTGATATAAATGAGTACTTTATACATGATGAAACGTTAACAAATAAACAGACAGACAGTCAGACAATTTTAAAAATGATAGAAATGTAATCATCATACTCAATCACTTATTTTTGGTCCCTCTCAATCAATTTTGTTAAAAAAATATAAAATGTTTATCAAAATTTTTTATTATATGTACACAGGTGCCTAAAACAGAAATAGGTAAGTTTTCTACCAACCCAGAGAGTCCCTTAGATTTAAAATAAAACTTTCAATATTAAAATAATTTGTAAAGGCCTGAGGCCGGCCTTCATAGTGTAAAATTATATATTTTTTTTACTTGTTTCATGTTGGCTTATACTTTCTATTAAAAGTTAATTTATTTTTAACCTTTTGAGTGGACTAAAAATAATACGAATGTATGGTTATATATATATATATATATACATATAAACATACAGTCGAATTGTTAACCTCATCCCTTTTTTATAGTCTGATAAAAATTAATCATCTTAAGAAACATTACATTTTAACAGGCCACACTGTTAACTCTATGAAAACTAAAATTTCCAGTGCACAAGGACCCATATGAGAACATCTACTGTGTGATTGATGGCTACAAAGACTTTATCCTTATCCCCCCAACCGATTTACCATATGTGCCGTACAAGCGATACCCACAAGCCGAATTCAAGAAAACTGGGGATACGTGGCATGTCCAACCTATTACTACGGTCAGAGATTGCGACTCCATGGAAAATAGTGATGGTGAGGCCACTAGAGATCGCGGCATAGAAGCACCACAAATGCTTCCCTGGATTTGTATTGGTAATAATAAAATTATATTAATAAACTAGTGACTAGGCTTCAAATGGGAGGAATCTATGATTGTTATTTAGATTTAAAATATCCTCAAAGTTACAAGCTATATATATATACACAGGTATTCTGGCATTGCTCTCTATATTTTCTTAATGTTTCACTGCAGTTGGTTCAGCCATTCCAAAGATTAGCCGAGGCTGTGGTTTTCCCAAACCAATGTTAAAAGTAAAAAATGACTCAATAAGAATTACATGTAATATATTGAATCAAAGAACAATTCTATCCTATTCTAGACAGGCAGAGATTTTTTTTCTAAACGGTTATTCATGTCTTAATAGCATGCAAATAACCTCCTTAGCTCAATAAAAAGCAATTATTTCGACATTATAAACAGACACTTCAGTTTTCTTTCATCTTATCTTTCTTCATTTATGGATTATTTGGGCAAAGGCATTAGGTGTGGGATGATGTGACAACGTTTTGAGCGGTATTTAACCTGCACTTTTATACGTGGTAGAGCCATGCTGCAGTTATGTTAATAGTATAGTTGTAGCACGAATGGGTCGACTCAACCGAGGAAGGACCACGCTCTCACAGTAAACCAGCGTGAAATAGTAGCTTAATGCTGCTGTGTTTCGTATGGTGAGTGTAGAAAACCGGAGGCCCTTTTTACTGGAAACGAGGCATTTCCATCTTAGTCCTCACGGGTGACAAGTCATCTGCATTTTGATTTGTAATCGAGAATAAATGTAGATGTCTATGGGCCGCAGCAACCACTTACCATCTGGTGGACTGTGTGCTCGTTTGTCATCCTATCCAATTAAAAAAAAACTTGGTAGGTTAGGTTAGGTTTTGAAGGGGATCTAACCTGCATTTGGTTGGTGCATCATGGTGGATAATAGACAATGTTTTGGCGACTGGTAAATGGCGGCATCTATTCTAAATACTGAACCTTTTTCACCATGGAATGTTATTATATTCATACAATGTGTAAGGAAAACTGTTCGATGGAAAAGGGATACATATGTACGCAATAACAACACCAAGAAGAACATCATATTTGTTAGCGACGACAAATGAATTTAAACATTTAATCTCGATTGTTTCTTATTTGTGATCTAAAATTAAGTGTAAAAACTAATAGCGTTAATACCAAGAAAGTGAATTAATTACTTATATTAGCTTCAATTCTTATTTTAAAATTACGTAACGAAAGTTAGTAACAAAGTCTGTAACGAAAATATGAATCTAATTGCTTATTTAGGTTTAATTAGAATGTTAGAAACGGAATATGAGTTTAGTTACTTATTAGATCTTTCTCTTATTATAATTTTAAAGAGCTGTATTAGAGATATTAACATTTAAGTGTAAATTTAATGATTTGTTTAATTCTTTTTCTTTTATAGTAATTTAAAACGATAATATGTCAATTAATCACTTTTGTAATCTAATTTCTCATTATAAAATAGATTTTAATTTAATAAGAAGTTAAAATATATTCTGTATAGAGTCTTAAGCATAATATTATCATGATAAGCATTGTGCATTCCTGCCGCCTGGCGGCGCTACTTGTATGTTAAGCGGAAAAAGCTTAGCATAAATTAAGAGTTTTATGAATGTTTAATGTTCGAAATAATAAAGATAAGTTATCTGTATTGCCAGGAATGTATAAAAATATTGTAATTATCTCTATTGCCAGGAATGTATAAAATATTGTAAGGTATGTTTTACCACACATATTAAAGAAATTTGTAAATTTCCTTTAGAAAAGGTCGTTCTGCGCTCTGATTGGTCGACGGAAATCATTAGTGCCGTGTGCAAATTCATTAGTGCCATGTGCAAATTTTATTAATTCTGATTGGTCACAGCTGCCTATAAAAAAGAGGCGTTTTTTGTGGTAAAACATTCCAAATCCGGTAATGTAAGAATTAAGAATCAAGAAAATAAATAAGAAGAAACTTTGAAGAAGTGTTATTTATTGCTCATCTAACTGCTACTGCATGCTCTTCAGTTAACATCTCGCCAGCATAACCCGCTCCATTACTAACATTCTCACACACGATCATCAACATTGGTCCGTCGAATAGCCGGATCGGGTTTAAGGAAAAACTAGGAAGATGCCTTCAAATACAAGATCAAAATCAGTGCAGTCGAAGACTACGAGTGAAAGTAACGCTACTACGGGTACCAGTACGACGGACTGGAGCATGAATACGCCGAGTGATTCTACAAGCACGACGGCAACATCAGATCGATGGACGCTTACAAGAGCATCGCCCAGCAGCGTACACAGACAACCCGTACTTCTTACTAAGAACATTGCCGGAAACGAATCAACACCGGGGGACATAACCCATACCACCCCCCCGCCCCGCACCGTCGAAGCGTCAGTTCCTCACCGAGAAGAGAGTCATCCAACGCCGCAGATTCAAGAAAGAAGTATCGCAGTGAAGACATGTCTGAACGAGGGAAGCATACCAACGTCCAAAGAAGACTACCCGCGATTCAGACACACTTTCTGTTCGCTCGTCGCATAGGAAGAGAGCAGAAGCGCAAGCAAAAATGACAATGGAATTAAGGGAACTAGAACTGGCAGAAGCTCGGTCAAAATTTGCTCAAGCGGAATTAGAACTTCTCACCGCGGAGTCAGAAGAAGAAGATGGTGCCGGAGAAGAGCTGTTCGAATGAACTCGAGAAGTCGAGCGGTGGTTCATCCAGACCGGAGACATGGCTAATAAGAACCACAAATCAATAGAGGCAGAAGAAAAGAAGAGTGACATCCAGGAACTAGCTTCAGTCATACTCAAGCTATCCGAAAAGTCACGTGACACCGTTTCACCGAAGCACCTCAAACGGGGCCTGTGAAGAATGGTTGGCCTTCAAGAGATCATACGAGGATATGGCCGCTTCATTCAGTAACAATCAGAACTTAGCGCGCCTTAGAATAGCAATCCAAGGAAAAGCTGGAGAAGCCGTCCAAAGCCTGCTGTTCACCGCCGAAGACCCACGCGAAGTAATCAAGGGACTAGAAGCAAGATTCGGAAGACCTGGAGCACTGGCATTAGCAAAACTAGAAAAAATGAAGAACCTTCCAAGAGTCGGCGAGAACCCAAGCGACATATGCATATTTGCGAGCAAAGTAAAGAACGCAGTTGAGACAATCAAAGCCCCGAAGAAACCACAGTATCTCAGTTCCCCTGAAACACTGAGAGTCATAGTAGACAAGATGCCGACATCAATGAAGTTTCGTTGGTTCGTCTACCACAGAAGCAGAAGAGATGAGGAAATTCAGGAGCTATTACTCGTCGAAGCGTTCCTAGAAACAGAAGCCGACATGTGCGGAGACTTCGCTCCGCCTGAAGCATCCTCAGAACAAAGAAGAGGAATAAGAAAACCCGTTCATTTGGTACAAGAAGCGTCAAAAGAAAAATATAAGAAGTCATGTCCGTTCTGTGCAAGAAGGCAAAGAAATGCTTCAAGTGCCTTCGATTCAAGCACTCAAGGATCAACTGCAAAGCCCCAGTCTGCAAGCTGTGTAAAAGATGGCATCATACCATCTTACATTCTGACAAACCACCAGCACCAATAGAAAAAGAAGCAAAAGACATCAGTAGCACATCAGAAGAAAAGGTCGCCTCAATTCACAACGCCAAAGGAGAAGAAAAGACCTATCTGAAGATGATCCCAGTGAACCTCTATGGCCCAAAAGGACAAGTTTGTGTCAAGCATTACTAGACGAAGGATCGACGGTCACACTCTTAGACGCATCAATTGCTGAGAAAATCGGAGTCGAAGGGAAGCAAGAAAAACTTACAATCGGAACCGTCGGCGGGAAAGTGTTAAGAAAAGATAGTTCACAGAAGATCAAGTTCAAAATAAAAGGGGCTCATAGAAAAGAAAAGAGGACTATCGTAGCGAGAACCGTATCGTATCGACGACCTGAAGCTGTCTGAACAATGCATAAACATGGACACCGTGAGAAACTGCGAGCATCTGAAAACAATTGAAAGCCAACTCCTCTACGTCACCGAGAGACCCAAGCTACTGATAGGCCAAAACAATTGGGGACTAATAGTGACAAGAAAGCTGAAGAAGGGCAAACCGTCAGATCCTGTAGCCTCCCTCACGAACGTAGGGTGGGTGTTACAAGGATGTGAAACAGGAGCAACTGCCACAGTAAACTTCACTCATTATGGCAGAGCGACCACTGGCGAAGAAAACATAGAAGAAATCGTCCGAGATCACTTTCAGTTGGAATCTCTTGGGATTCAGAATCGGTCGCCAACCAACGACAGCGATAGAAGAGCATTAGAAACCCTTGAGAAAACTACAAAGAAACTGCCAAGCGGTCAATATGAAACGGGACTCCTGTGGAAAAAAGAAGACGAAATCCTACCCAACATTACAATCAAGCAGTCCGACGCCTGATCAGCATCGAAAAGAAACTAGAGCAAGACCAAGAATCAAGAAAGCACTACGAGGAGCAGATCCTGAGTCTGATCGAAAAGGGATACGCAGAGATAGCTCCAGAAACCTCCAACAAAGGAAGGATATTCTACTTACCCCACTTCGCTGTTGTGCATCCAGTTAAGAAGAAGCTGAGAATAGTGTTCGACACAGCTGCCAAGTATGAAGGGAAGAGCCTCAACGACGCCTTGCTCTTGGGCCCAGACTTGTTACTATCACTATTTGGAGTACTGTTGCACTTCAGAGAGGGACCAGTAGCCGTCATGGCCGACATACAAGATATGTCCTCCGAGTCAAAGTTAGAGAGGACGACCGAGACATTCTCAGGTTCCTGTGACGCGGAAGTCGGAGAACTGGCAAGCCTGAAGAGTATAGAATATCTTCAATCTCTTTGGGGCAGCGTCATCACCGGCAACAGCATTATACGTAATGAATAAGAACGCAGAAGAATTTAAGAACACTCATCCCGAAGTAGTGAAAGCAATTAAGAGAAACCATTACATGGACGACTATCTGCAGAGCTTCGCGTCTACAACTGAAGCAAAGAAGATATCCAAAGAAGTGAAGGACATTCACGCAAGAGCAAACTTTCATCTGAAGGGTTGGGCCAGTAAAAATTCGGGGGTAATATCAGAAGTAGAAGACACCAATAAAGAAAACTCTTTACAACTGACCAAGGAAGAGAAGACTCTGGGACTAAGATGGCTGGTGAAAGAAGATTCATTAGCCTTCAACGTCGGGCTACGCAACACGCCGGAGGACCTGCAAGATGGCAGAAGAACTCCAACAAAGAGAGAAGTCACGAGCGCAATGATGTCCACCTTCGATCCAATGGGTTTTGCAACACCGATTCTAATACAAGGAAAGAAACTAATCCAGGACATCTGGCGAAAGAAATTAGACTGGGATGAACCAATCAACAAACAACAAAAGGAAGGCTGGATGAAATACTTAGAGGAAGTATCAACATTAACAAGGAAGGAAGGAAATGAAGATCCCGATGATGTGTCTCACCCAAAGGCAGAGAAGGACAGTTACATACATTCACCGATGCGAGTGAAGAAGCCTATGCAGCAGTAGTCTACTGGAGAATAGTCGAGCCCGGAGGAAAAATCCATGTCTCCATGATCGCCGGCAAAGCAAGGGTAACACCGACGAAACCAGTATCAGTTCATCATACAAGCGGCTTTACTCGGAAGCAGACTAGCCGCTACAATTGAAGAGGAGTCAGAGCTCGAAATATCAAAAAAGATTTACTGGACCGACTCCAGCACAGTACTGCAGTGGATAAAGTCAGAACCAAGAAAATTCAAAACTTTCGTGGCCAACCGACTCGCTGAGATCGAAGAGAAGTCCGAGCCAGACGACTGGAGATGGGTACCAACTAAGGAGAACCCAGCAGATGACGTCACGAGGCCCCCATCGAATTCGACCATAAAGCCAGATGGTTCAAAGGCCCGTCATTTCTCCGTCAACCAGAAGAAGAATGGCCATTTCTCGACTTCAAACCAGAGAGTATTATGCCAGAAGAAAAGCACAAACAGAAGGTGTTGGCAACGATGGCAGCAGAAGACATCCTTTTAAATCCGGAAAGGTTCTCGAGCTGGGAGCGACTGCTGCGCACTACAGCCAGAGTGGTTGCCTTTGCACACTACCTATTAAAGAGCCGTAAAGCGACCACCACCGCCACGCGCCAGAAGGATGAGCCTTGGAAACCACAACAGAAAACCCAGAAGAAAGAAGCACACGCCTCAAACCCGCCGACCAATAATAACGAAAATAAGCGCCTATATCTACCCCTAGAAGAAGAACACTGTAAGAAGGCTGAAGAATTATTAATGAAAATAAGCCAGAGCGACAGTTTTGCGTCAGACATAAGAAAATTGAAGACAGAAAAACCTCTAGAAAACTCAAGTCGACTTAAGAAAATCGACGTTTACATTAGAGACGATGGAATCATCAAATTAAGGAGTAGGACAATGAAATTCCACGACCAAAACGAAAGAAGGATGAATCCCATCGTTTTAGACGGGAAACAAAAAGTAACCCGTCTAATAATACAATACTATCATAAGAAATTCCTTCACGGAAACACTGCTACAGTAATGAACGAAATTCGTCAAAAGTTCTGGATCCTGGGTTTAAGAGCGACTTTAAAAGCGGTTGCACACGGCTGTCAATGGTGCAAGACAAAGAAGAGTTCACCAGAGATACCCCCGACGGGAGATCTACCGAGCGAGAGACTACAGCATCATCAGTTTCCGTTCTCCTGCACGGCCGTAGATTACTTCGGGCCGATGCAAGTCACCATCGGAAGAAGAACTGAGAAGCGCTGGGGAGCTTTATTTACCTGCCTCACTACTAGAGCAGTACATCTAGAGCTAGTACCTTCTCTCAATACTAGCTCAATGATCATGGCACTCCGACGAATGGCAGCCAGAAGAGGGACCCCGAAAAATATATTCAGCGACAACGGCACTAACTTCGTCGGGGCACAAAAGGGAATTAGAAGAGGCCGCACAAGAAAAAGGCATCGAGTGGAAGTTCATTCCCCCGGGTGCTCCGAATATGAGAGGCGCCTGGGAGAGACTCGTACGAACAGTCAAGACGGCGCTAGCAGTAGTCCTCAACGAGAAGAGCCCGCCCGAGGAGGTACTCCATACGCTAATGACCGAGGTTGAACATATCGTCAATTCGAGACCTCTCACCCCGATCAGCATGGACCCAGAAGACGAGGAGAGCCTAACACCGAACCACTTTCTACTGGGAAGTGTCGTAAAGCGACAATTAAAAACAAAAGAAACTAACCTAACAACAACGAAACAACAAAAAAAAAAATAATTTAAAAAGTTTTTTATATGAAAAAAAATGAAGATGATGATGGGTGACGTGAATTACAATTTTTTTTAAAATTTAAAGCGACAAAAGAACCTAACCTAACAACAACGAAACAACAAAAAAATAATAATTTATTTAAAATTTTAAAAGATATTTACAGTTTTTTATATAAAAAAAGGAAGATGATGATGGGTGACGTGAATTACAATTATTTTTTAAAAAAAAAATAACAAAGATAAATGAGTACTGAAACGGAGCCCGAAGACCAAGGTGGCACACCGCGCTTGGCAGTGGTGCTCACCGCTCACGGAGTATGCACAGGCTATGCCTGTGGTAGGTGCGCAGCGCCTGATCTAGGCACACGCAGCGTCTGGAGTAGGCACACGCAGCGCTGGAAGTAGGCACACACAGCGCCCGGACTAGGCACACACAGCGCCCGGAGTAGGCACACGCAGTGTCTGGAGTAGGTACACGCAGCGTCTGGAGCAGGTACACGCAGCGCTTGAAGTAGGCAAACACAGCGCCCGGAGTAGGCACACACAGCGCCCGGAGTAGGCACACGCAGCGCCCGGAGTAGGCACACGCAGTGCTTGAAGCAAGCACGCACAGCGGCTAAAGATAGCGCGGGCACTAGTAGGTGGAGGCGTAGGCGTGGCTAGACGACGACTTCAGAAATTGCAGAGTTACGGAGAACTAAATAAAAGATCGAAAAAGGTAGACTCCATCGACACCGATTTAAAATGTGCTGATAGCGTGAAAATACGAAGTGAAAATGATTTGTTATTGTGTTCTTATGGTTTAAAAACGTTACAGGATCCTATGGAAATAAAGGTGATGCAAAATATCCAGTTTTGAGGTGAATGCAGAAAATCAAAAACAGAATGGAAAAATAAATTTAAAATAGTGTAAAATGATATGTAAGTGTCATTATAAAATAGATTTTAATTTAATAAGAAGTTAAAATATATTCTGTATAGAGTCTTAAGCATAATATTATCATGATAAGCATTGTGCATTCCTGCTGCCTGGCGGCGCTACTTGTATGTTAAGCGGAAAAAGCTTAGCTACTCCGGAGCTAAATCGTAGGAAGACCGCGCCACTATTTTTATTATTTACAAGCATAAATTAAGAGTTTTATGAATGTTTAATGTTCGAAATAATAAAGATAAGTTATCTCTATTGCCAGGAATGTATAAAAATATTGTAATTATCTCTATTGCCAGGAATGTATAAAAATATTGTAAGGTATGTTTTACCACACATATTAAAGAAATTTGTAAATTTCCTTTAGAAAAGGTCGTTCTGTGCTCTGATTGGTCGATGGAAATCATTAGTGCCGTGTGCAAATTTTATTAATTCTGATTGGTCACAGCTGCCTATAAAAAAGAGGCGTTTTTTTGTGGTAAAACATTCCAAATCCGGCAATGTAAGAATAAAGAATCAAGAAAATAAATAAGAAGAAACTCTGAAGAAGTGTTATTTATTGCTCATCTAACTGCTACTGCATGCTCTCCAGTTAACATCCCGCCAGCATAACCCGCTCCATTACTAACATTCTCACACACGAGCATCAACAATATTATTAATGAATATAAAAATCTTATTTAAAATATAACTACATGTCAATTTGGCAATACGGTCGTCGGCGACGGTATCTTTAAATGTGTGGCGTTATTGTTACCCGACAGCCGCTCGCTCATCATGTATTGTCATGTGTGTTTCTTCGTAAAGATAACATGGATTACATTAACAGAATCATAACACGTAGAGCACAATCACGGATCGAACAGAGGGTTTTCTTTACAAATGGTATATTCAGCAGGGGAATTTGGAAGGTTGTTAAATAATAAATGACTCTACATCTCTCAAGGTCTTGGGACAATTTTCAGAGTTATCTGCGTTATCTATTGTCAGGTATATTTCAAGTACTTATAATTTAATATCTTGTATTAAATTATAACTACAGATGTAAAGGTGTATATACAATATGTAACGTAATTAACGCACACCCTCAGACACCCCAATTAGTATAATATGTTATAAACATAATACATACACTGAATTTTTAGTTAAACATTTTTATTCTCTGATTATTTATCAAATTAGTTATATTAATTCCGGAAGAATGATGTGGTCACAGTACAAATCCACCAACGCAAAGACTTTCACGTGCTTGAAATAAAGTTCATTGTTCTTTTTTTTATTGAATGACAGAATTAGTAATAATACAAATAAAACTGCACTCTTAAAAGTCTTATTGCCTTAAGTTACGGTCCATTACAGTTTGTTTTGACTGTACAGATTTAGTGTGACTGTAATTTACGTAGTTTTATATATATATATATATATTAACTGCATTCAAGCAACTAAACTGATTGCGTCAATTTATTTTCAGATCCTTTAAAACCGGATTTAGCTAAATACCCGGAATTTAGCAAGGCACATCAATATAGAGTTCGTCTGAATAAAGGTGATTGTTTATATCTACCTAGTCTATGGTTCCACCACGTAAGACAGAGTCATGGTTGCATTGCCATTAACTATTGGTACGATATGGAATTTGATATAAAGTATTGCTATTTCAAAATGCTAGAGACTTTGTGTAATAAATATTAATTTTTTCATATTTATAAATAACTTTAAGGGCAGAGCTATAAAAATTATTTTATATTTGTTACTAAGTTAATTGAGTCTTTTTAACTGTACCTTTTTAAGTTGTAATTCATGGATTACGATGCTCTAATTATCGGTTCAATTAAGTAGTTTTTTTACATAGAATTAGTAAGGCAGAAGGAAATGTAACCACAGCCACTTTTTTAAATATATGTATAGTTTTCTTTGAGTAGCTCTTTTAAAAGCTGTAAGATTTTTTTTAAAAGTTAGGTTTGTACTAAGAAATTTAATTAATATGTAAAAACATTGTTGTATTGTACGTGAGTAATTTTTGTACATATCGATCGGTTATTACGAGTTTGAAGAAATTTTGTATTTAGATACTGTTTTACTTTTCAATATATTTACATATATAGGCGTATTTGCTAAAAATATATTTCTTTTTAATGCTCAGCGAAGCTTGGATGCCTACGGTGATTACTATCTTATCAACTTATAATATTAGCTAAGTATTCTAACTTTTTTGTAGAAGTAAAGTGACACATGAGTACAAATTCTGATAAGTGGATACTTTGGTCCTTGGACACTTACATCTAACGTCAATTAGAGCCGGCTATACATGTTGGCCGAGCGAAGGCAAGCACCAACATATATAGTTTTACCATTTGTCCAACCTCGCCATTGCTCGTCTACGCTCGCCTAGCTGGCCGAGAGCAGGCGAACGTCAATGTGTATATGGTTCGTTTGTTACGTTTTAATTTAATCAAAACAACAAATAAGAATTTTGCAAAAATAAGAATTTATTTAAACTCAGGGTCGAAGGTCGGTTATTATTATTGATTTCGATTTAATTGCCTTCGTAACAATACTCTCCTGCGTTCCATTTAGTCTGCCTCTACTTTCTGCCGTGCATGAAATTAAGAACCTAGATCTTGACAGCTGTCGACCAGTGAGCTCAGCGGTATCCTGCTCTCTCTCTCTCTCTCTCTCTATATATATATATATATATATATATATATATATATATATATATATATATATATATATATATATAAAATATATACTAGCTTGCCAGGCAGACGTTGTTCTGCCCTTTTCGAAGACCTTTTGTCATGTCCTATTAAAAATCCTTAAATTCGCAAAAAAATAATTGTGGGTTACTCATGGGCAAAAAAACTATCCTATCTCTCAAGTTGGACCAAACTGCACACGGTGTGCAAATTTGATTAAAATCGGTTAAGTAGTTTAGGAGTCCATCGCGGACAAACAACGTGAAACGTAATTTATATATATTAAGCTGTGTTAAATATTTTACTAGATAGTAGATGAAATCTCATCTTTGGACACAGTGATAGGGTCAGAGGCGGTGGGGGGGCGAGTTCCGGCGACGGACCTCGTCCTCCACTAGTTTGATATGTAGGGGGTCAGTGGGTTGTGAGCTGGGAGAGACTTGAGCTGCTACGCTGTCGGCGAAGCATTCAGCTTTTTCTTCGTCCTCGAAGGCAATAGAGCCGTCGGGACGAGACAGAAGGGGAGTATGCGTGATAGCGTCTATCCGGAGGGCCCTCACCATCTGGTAGTACACTGTGTGAGAGGTGGAGATTTTCTCCATGAGATTGCCCCTTTCGAGGTATCTGAAATCTTTGAGGCGGTAACGAAGTTTGCGTTGAAGGCGGTGGGCCGCGAGTCTATACTCGGGAGTAGGATAGCGTGCGGCTCTACGGAGGGCAGCTTTTTTGGCTTTGAGCAGGTTGCTAATATCTAGGGGAAGACTAGTTTTAGCAACCGGGACAAACTTTTCATTCTCTTTAAGAGAGGATCTTATAAGACTCTCGAGGACGTCAGAAGAGAGGGTTATGGGAGGGTCCATAGCCGAGGCTAGAGACTTCTTGAAGCCCTTCCAGTTGGTGTAGGTTTTGGAAGTGGGAGTTGGAGGTGGCTGATGGCCAAGAAGGAGGGATACAGGACGGTGGTCGGATCCTAGATCATCGAGAGACTCGATTGCTCTAAGGTTAAAGGAGACTCCTTTAACTAGAGCAAAGTCTAGCACGTCAGGAGCGTAGTTAACGTTGTCGGGATAGTGGGTGACAGCGAGGGGGCTGTAGACAGTCAGGTCGAGAGACTGAGTGATTTTGAGCAGCGCTTTGCCACTATTAGTAGTAGTGCGGCAGGTCCATTCAGTATGCTTGGAGTTAAAATCTCCAAACATAATGACTGAGTCGCCTAATGCAAGGATGGCTTCGAAATCACTCTTAACGGGGAGGGTTCCGCTAGGGATATAGCAAGAGGCTATAATGATAGACTGGTGTCCTGTCATGGCTAATCTAGTAATAGTGGCTTCCATACTGGTAAGCGTCGGAGTGGGGATGTGGGAGCAATAAAGGGACTTTGTAGTAGATGGCAGTATCGCCGCCTTTGCGGTCGGGTTTGTCATTACGAAGAAATGAATAACTTTTGACAGAGAGGCCTTTAGAGACCTTAGAGCTGAGGTGGGTCTCCTGAAGGAGGAGGAGGTCGGCTTCGCGATCTCGAAGAAAGAGCCTAAGCTCTGGGAGGCTATTTCGCAAACCGCGGATATTGAACGAAACAAGCGACAAACCCTTTGGTTTGATACGACCGTGCGATATTGCGGGAGCAGAGGGCTCCGGCATAGTGTTTTTACAACGACCTTAGTAGATCGATGTACTCAGCAGGAGCAAGGAGACGGTCCTGAGGGGACTGAGCAGCGCGCGGTTTACGCGCAACGATAGATATTTCCCCTACATTGAATTTACTCATAGTGTTAGACACTAGGCTTAGGTCATCTGCTATAGTTTCTGCCTGTTTTTGTGAGGCGGCGGAGGGCCGCGGGATGTTCGTTGCCTTTGGGCCCCAAGGGTTAATTGGGAGCAGGCTGGGAGAGTGGAAGGCTCATAAGGGGCTGAGGAGGGCCTTGAGGTGGCATGAGGGGGCCGATAGATGCCCTGTGTGGGCTGAGATGAGCCCTGAGGGGGCTGTGGTAGGGGCAGGCCCTGGCGGGGCATGCGGCTTCCAAGAGCCGGGAAAGTTCGGTCATTGACCTGAGGTGGAGCTTTGTAGCTCAGAAGTGTGCGAGGAGCGCGACGGCAGCCTCTAAAGTTGGCCGGGTGGCCTGTTTGTCCGCATAGGACACATGCGGGTGGGGATTCGGCATTTTTGGGCCGAGGGCACTCTTTCGAGTGATGGGGTTCTAGGCACTTAACGCACCTGGGTGGGGCTGAGCAGTTGGCTGCCGCGTGCCCATAAAGTTGGCAGCGGTGGCACTGCGCTGGATAACCGCGCCGGTGTGGGGCTTCGACCCTTACACGCGACAGGCCGTACACAGTGCGTACCTCGCGGAAGATGGCCTTCGTCTCCGGTACGTTTGAGAGTACGAGTAGGGCGACGTTGAACCTCTCGCCCCTGCTGCTGTGCATCTTGTGCACAGCCTCGACAGGGAAGCCCTGGGACTTTAGATCATCTAAGATGTCCTCGTTTGCGAGTTCGTGAGGAACTCCGCGGAGGACTGCTTTTACTTTTCATTCTTCGACGAGAGCGTACGTGTGATAGGACACGCGCTCGACCGTGAAGTGACGAGTGATGTTCCGGAAGTCTTCTATAGACGCCGGCATGATTTTAATGGCCTCACCGACATTGGTGGCTTGGTCATATTTGAAACTCTTTCCGTAGAGGGTTTTGGACAGTTTGGTGAATTTCGCCTTGTCTCTGAGAAAGACAGGGGGCGGGACTTGGCTTTTAGCTAACTGGGAAGCGCAGCGGGTTGCTGGCTTGGTGGTAGTCTTGCGACTGAGAGCAGGCAGCGTTAGGGGCTGCGGGGGTAGGGGTAACGACGGGGGCTGCGGAGGTGGAGGCAACGGCGGGGGCTGCGCGGGCGGCCGCCGGGGCGGGGGGTGAGCGGGAAGTCGCGGCGCGCTTTTTGCCGCGCTTGGATTTAACTAGGGTGAATTGGGCCATGTCAGTGACCGTTCCTTCAGAGTCGGACAACTCCAAGGAGCCACTGGAGATGTGGGCGGTCCTCTTTCGTGAGGATGAGGTAACAGACGTGGTGTCGTAGTGCTCCATATCGGAGTCGGGGGACGCGGGCGAGTCGGTCTGCGGGGCAGCCGCTTGGGTCGCTAAAAAAGCCGCGACGGCGAGCGGGGGGACACATGCCTTAGGGGCAAGGGGAGCAAGGGCATTAGTAAATGTATTGCCGAGAAGGGTCTCATCGACGTTGGGGGCTACGCCTTGGGATTGGAAATATTGTGTGACCGTAGCCGTAAGTAAGCTTGCAAGTTTGTTCATGTCTATGGCAGACATGTTGGTTTGGACAGGGGTGGAGAGGGCTGACGATTATTCAGAGAAATACTTGCTTTAAGAAGAACGACGCCTTGTCCTCAAAAGGACAAGGAACGTTTTTCCAGAATACTAACAATATGCAGGTAAGAAATTATAACAATAAACAATAACAGAAAAATAACAAGAAAAACAGTAACAGAATAGTAAACAATAGAACAATAAAGGCACAGCGCGCTCATACCTCCTCGCCGAAGCGAGGGGGCAAGGACGGTGCGAAAAAACAAGTGACTCACCTACGGCGACTGCTCGGCCGGTGTGAGCCGGGGAGAGTGGGGCGCGCGGGCGAGAGGTTGCACTACCGCACGGGGACGGAGCGCTGACTGCTTGTCGATATTTACACATGTTACAATGGCCTTAAATTTTGATTTGTACATTCGAGCTTTCTTCTGTCTTGGTGAATGTAGGGAAGGATCACCTTCTATATCTTCTCGTCCATCTTTGAATCATTTATGCTTCTTAAAACCTGTGTACGTGATATAAAGTAATCTCCATACACCTGTTCTAAGATAGTTTATGTTGTGGATTTTCCGAGTTTAACCAAAAATTTCACGTTTCACGTTGCTCATTTGATTTCGTTCGTTGCACGATTGACATGAACGGTGAACTCCGTTACTCCATATTACGAGCACTTTTTATATATATATGGAATATAAACGAAATTCAAGCCCAAAAATGAATTGTAGAACGTGCTGCCGATTGGGGGTATCAGATGGAACAATTAATATTTATCATATGGCTATATATACACCTACAGTCTTATTCATAAAAAGTTAAAATAGGTTTATTAGCTTGTTATAAGGAGGTACCCGTAAAACATTATTCATAAACGTTTAACAACTCTAAAACGCATTATAAGTGTTCTATAATGGCTTCATAAGTTATAGAGGGGTCCACCCTACTAAAAACCTCTAATAAAGAAAAATATGGCCGATTTGCGTGCGAGCAACGAACAGCTGTTTGTTTAAGTCGTTTAAGTTATTGTTGGTGAAATTGCTTTTTTGTCGATTTTGATTGCTAAAAAGTGTCGATATTCAAGCTCTGCAAGCTTTATTAGCTATGGAGGAAATAGGAAATGCGCCGCATCGTCGTCGTAAGATTTACCAGAAGAGATATGATCCGTTTTCTTTGCCCGATGTTCAAAAAGCGATACCGCTTCAATAAACATACGGCATCTTTTATAATTGATCTTGTCAGGCAGGATTTACAACTGGACCCAAGGGGTTGTGGTACATCACCAGAATTGCAGGTGTTAACTGCCGTTAGATGTTGGGGACGTTGTGAAGTAAGTCTCAACTCGTAGTATACAAGTAATAATACCATATATGAGTGTGTAAACGTTTTTGTACCTATCCGTTTTAGGTTCAAGATGATGGGGGAGACCTTCATGGGTTGACACAACCAACTGGGAGTCGCATTTGTGCCAGAATAGCTCGCGCGATTGCTCGTCACTCTGAGACGTACATAAATATGCCGCAGTCTCTGGCAGAAGAGCAAAGGGAATTTAAAAAAAATTATAAAAAATTATAAGGGAATTCTTAGAGATAAGAAATTTCCCTTCTGTGTTGGGTTGCATTGATTGTACTCACATAAAAATAAAGAAATCTGGTGGTGATGCAGCCCAGTATTATATAAACCGAAAAGGATTTTATTCATTGAATGTACAAGTAAGTTCATATAATAATAGAATGCAATTCTTTGCCAGGTGGTATATTACTTATATACATATATATGTGTATATATAAATGTATGTATATATTTATTTTACCTGATTACATAACTGTGCTCGCATATTTTTTAAAATTTTTAATGCCGGTGGTTTGCGATGCTAAGCTGTATATCAGAGACATCAGAGTTGCCAGATGGAGAGGCAGTACCCATGATTCCCGTATCTTTAACGAATCCACTCTTAAAGAGCGCTTTGAAAGAAGAGAGTTTAGAGGGAGACTCTTAGGAGATTCAGGCTACCGATTAGAGCCATATCTATTCATACCTATACTAAGACCACAAAATGAGCGTGAAGAAAAATATAATCGAGCACAAATTGGCACTCGGAACTGTGTTGAACGTTGCTTTGGAGTGTGGAAGCAGCGGTTTCAAAGCCTTTTGTATGGCATGACAGTACACATGAAAAATGTGAAACCTACAATTGTGGCTCTTGCAGTGTTGCACAATATTGCAATAGGACAACAGGATTCGGTACCAGGTAATTTGCACACAAATAATTTTAGTCATTCATGAATATAATATTTCTTTACATAATAATAATAATATAATATTCAGATCATGATGATGAACTCAATACAATTGTAGATACTGAACTTCTACCTTCTTATAATTGGTGAGGCCAGAGGAAGAGACTCCAATAATGCTCTTCTACGAGCATTTATCGATAGTCATTTTAGCTAATTAAGGGTATGAGTAAGTAAGCTCCACATTTTAATTTTAAATTATTTATTTTCAAGAACTAGAAGTTTTTATAATATTTAATTTTTAATTTAATTAATGTCTCATCGAGGTCCAAGTTTCGGGCTTTCCTTTCTTCATTTGCCATTTGGGCTTGATGGACCTCCTTTCTGCACTCGATTTCAGTATTGGCTATACTTTCTGCATGATCTGAGGTCTGAAATACAAATAGTTATGTTTGGGTATTTAAAAAAACAAAGCAGCAATTTCATAAATTAACATAATCCCTATTAGAGTAGAGGTCATTATATTTACCTTTTTCTCAGTTTTATTCTTTCTTTCAGGTTTCTTAGATGGTGTATAGAGTGGTTTTGGTGCTGAGCCAATAGATACAACCTGCAGCAAAGGAAACCGTTAAAAGAAACGTGTTTTCATTAACTTAATCTTAAATATACTTTGACATAAAATGTTTCATCAAATAAAATTTAAGTTTAAATGGACCATTTTTTATTCAACTATTATTTTTATCTCTAAACTTCACAATCCAGGATTACAAATCAAGTTATGGGTTCAATTCCCACTTTGGCACATGTTCAGTTACTTGGTTTATGACATTTCACATATTTACCTCTCGTGTAGTTTGGATTTCCTCAAGTATTTCTACTGTGACATCCTTTACTGTACTCTCTTTGTTCTACAACAGTATAATATAAAAATAAAATAGGTATGAAAAATATGAAAATTGCTAGCTATCTCAATTCTTTACGGATGCTCACAATATCTGAAGACTTGTTTTCAACATTGACAAGTTTATTTATCCTATCCACTTCGATTTCATTTTGCGATGGCTCCCCAATCTACAAACAATGCAATAAACAATTAACTTAATAATGTACTTAAGCATGGATTTTTTTTGATAACTATATCATTAAGTAAACTTTAGTAGGTATTTTATTTAGGTAGAAAAGGAACAAATATATTTATTACGCAACATTAAAGTTTGTACTGGGTAGAAACTTGCGACCTTTAACTTAGCTTTAATTTGCTGTCAAACTTTTTTTACCGTGGCTTGTCTATGGATTCATCAGAATGGACAACATAATAAAACTAAAGTATTCCATAAATATGATTTAACTATGACAGGTTTATTGAACGTTTATGAATAGAGAATTTTATAATAGGTTTAATAGTACTATTGAGCATTTTAACTAATGTTATAACGCCATTTTAGTGGATTTTTATGAATAAGACTGCTAGTATATATAATTATATAATAGCTACTATAATTGTCTCCTCTCTACTAAATTTGTTCATATTTTTTTTAGTTTTACTTATTGTAAGAACTTATTAAAGTTATACAATTTCTTTCAGTAGGTATTATAGAGTTTTATGTAAAAATAAAAACTCATTTTGGAAATTTAAATCATTTGTTGAATAAAACGTCTTTTTTACATTTGTGGAAATGTATTTTGGCTTTTATTTAAAACTTGTTATCATTATCATCAGTCTCTTTTCCACTGGGTATTTTTAACAAAATTGAAAATGAAATTGTAATCGGCAAGACATTCAATAAATAAATTATTATTATTTTATTTTCATATTACATTAAAAATATCCACATCTATATGAATTAGTATACAGGTTTTTATTAATTCTTCTACATTTTGTTCTATCTAAATAATTCTTTAATCCTTTCCCTGCCTCACGATTCATATATCGTCGGCCTAATTATCAAAAGTCGTAACTCCGTTTGGGCAAAATTTACAGAAGCGGGAAAAAACTGTTTCGTGCGGAAACATATTAAGTTATCTAAATACATGGTCGACAAACCTATTTATTTTTATATATTTTGATCTTTTCTACTAAAAAATGAACTTACGATTTTTTATTATTAGTGTGTTTGGACTTACGACGTGAATGAGCTCATACGAACTTTTACGTTTAGAGTATATGCTCATATAACGTATACTTACACAGTTTTACAAAGCAGTCTTAAAACGGTACATATAAATTAAAAAAATCAAATAACCATTTTTTAATATAATAGTATTTATTTAAAAAAATACTTAAAAAGTTTTTGTTTAACATTTACATAACATTTCTCTCTTAGAATTAATTAAGTAGGTACAGGAGTTTTTATGACACAATAATTAGTCTCAATTTTTCGCAATACTAGAACAATAATATTACGTTATCACTTATCAGTTTTAAAGTAACGTTATAATATAATTAACAAAAATACAACTTAGTAAAAACTTCAACAAGTTATCAAAAATCTTTGGATGGTTTTAAAAGTGAGGTAAATCATCGTAAAATTTGTGGTAATCTTTCTCCATTGTGTGTTTAAGGGTCTGGAGATCCTGGTACTTTTCCTTTTTAATTTTTAGCCTAGTAGAATACAGCTGAGGAATCTCATCCCATGGAATGCAACTTATTTTCTTCGTTCTGATAGGAAATTCTTCCCAGATAGTGCTGGAGTGTCTTAGTTTATAGACTATCATCCCGTCAGAAGTATACTTCAAAACTCTGAGATTAGTTACAGTTGGATCACCTGCTTTTCTTCCGGGCTTGATTGACTTGTAAAAAGTTAATGTATGTTCGATATCTTTAAAAAAGTGATGATAAAGGTATTGAACTTCATAAGGATTTCTTTTGCAAGCTATTTTGGCCAGATAAGCATAGTCCGCCGGCACGTTTATTTTCTTGTGTCTTATTGCTCTCTCGATGACGGAATGCATGCTATGACACTCCATCTGCGTGTGTCCTTTCTCAAGATACTTTGGGGTCACAGTTAGTTTGTTAAGCATGCTGAAATTAAGCAGAGCATTTGATAGCACCACATTCCGATTTTGATAAGTACAGCCATCACTATAGACAATCAATTCTTGCCCATTTCCTATAGAGTGTTCATTGACAAACTTCTGTAAGGATGTAACTATAATAGTTGAAAATTCGGTACTTGTAAGTTTTCCTTCTCTTTCGTTCCAGATATAACAATATCCCTTATTTCTTTTGACATCGAACATAGTAAAATGTGTACTATAAGTTTCGTTTTATAGTAGAGTGCCGATATATTGGATCGAGGGCTTAGAAGCACAGACTGCAAATCCATAGTAAGCACTTCGTGATTAGAAGCAGAGTCCTTAGTTAGTTCTCTACGGGCTTCTTCTTTCATGCTACGGTGCACCTCATAATCGGATTCTGTGACATTTCCAGTTTTAAAGGATTCACAGATATCACATAAGTCTTTCTTCGGTCGGAATAAAGACAGATTGAGCTCCTCAAATAAGTTGGAAAAACTTGTAATGCATAGGGGTTCCCTGTTTTACAGAGTTGAGATTTAGTTGTCCAGATAGGTTCCAGGTACAGTTTTGAAGTATCTTTGCGACAATAATGGGATTCTAGTTTTGGTAATGATTCAAAAAACTTTCATAATTGTTTGTAGGAGTCTTCTTTAACATTATTCTTTAGTGTAGGTTTTGGTTCGTCTCGTATGATCCATTTTTTATGACCCATTCACCGACACTTAAACTGTTAAGGAACATTTTTTTGCATACCCGATACCTATTGCCTTTGCTATCGGAAAGATACAATTCGACAGAAGTATGACGTCTGGATGATGTCCCAGCACACCTTTCTCTTTGTTTGGATTTACAAATGGATAACATTTTAATATATATTTTCTTTTCTTTCCAAGTCATGTTCCGAAACTTTTCGAAGCATTGTTTTCTTTCCTCATCAGATATTTTATCACATTGTAACTTTGTACCACCTTTTAAGCTCAACTTACAGTTGCACCTGTCTTTGATATTTCTAACACTCCTAGGTTCAACAAATTTCCACTTATCGTCTATTTTTTTCTTCCCTAAATAGGCTTTTCCTTTTTCTCTTTGCTCCTTGTTTTTAATAACACTCCAGTTTTGTGAACAGCTTTTTTTTTGTCTTTTTCGCGGCTGTGGTTCGGACGCTATAGTCCTATTTTGTCCTGACATTTCATGTTGTTCACTCGTTAACTCTGCGGATACCGGTGGTGTGGTAGTAATCTGTTCGACTGGGTTTTGATATACCTCTGTTGGGTGCAAAATGGAAGTATTAGTTGTTGTCTCATTATTTAATGCGTTGGTCGTTATTTCCTTTTCTAAGAAGTCATGAGGAAGAGAGTCAGAGGGGATCAACTGTAGCGCTGTTCTTGTGTCTTCCGATGGGTTTAAAATTAAATAAGTTTGCGTCTCCTCTTTTCCTGTGATATAATCAGTAGGTAAGTCCGATGTAGTCGATTGTAGTAACGGATAAGTGATAGATTGTTCAATTGTATTATGGTGCTCTTCTGTTGGATTGATAATGCCAATTTCATGCTTGTAGCCAGATGCCAGAGTTTCATGCTTGTAGATGTCATCAGAAATAAAATTAGACGCCAATAATTCAGATTCAGTCAAAATGCCTTGTTCCATTCCTGCGTTCGTAGCGCATTCGGCTGTTGTCGACCGTACAATCGGATCACATAAAGAAAAGAGACTATTTGTATTATGCAAAGATCTGTCATGGCAAATTATAATGTCTTTTGCACTGCCACTGTAGCTCAGCGTATCAGTCGGTTCATTTTTTTCTGTCTCAGGCAATAAAGAGGAATCTTTCTCTAAAACATACGATTTTGGTACTTATAATTTTTGAATATTTTGGTGCGGTGACCTCTTTCGGCGGGTCGTCATAAACATTTTGAAGTATTTTCAATGCTCGCGTGTTTTTCAAAATAATGAAATATATTGTCTAAAAATTAAAAAAAAATAGTATTAAATGCAAAAATATTTCTTAAGCAATATTGTGTTTATATATAACGCCGTAACTCCGAGCAGCACGATCGTTATCTCATACAAACAAATAAAACTTCGTAACTCCTACATCGTTTTTTATAAGCTGCTGTTATCTTTTAGTTAAAGTGTTAATGTTTTTTTACTAGTAAGTAATGTGTATAAACTTACCCTTGAATCTTCTAATAAGTACTATCACTTAAAACACAAATTAACAATTTAAAACTTTAAAAAATACTGGGTTTTTCAACAGGAACTTTGTTTTCTAAAACAAAATAAAACAGAGTTTAGATGAAGATGATTCAAATTTTTATTGTATTACGAAGAGAAAAGTTTGGCAATTATGAATGAAAAATGATATCTGGCAAATGTCCACCACGACCACGCTGACAGATGTCGATTCTTTCATCAAAGTTTTAATCAGTTTTTGGCAAAATGGCGGGTCTATTTCGTTAATCACGTCACGGATTTTGAGTTTTAAGGCCGCGATCGATAAAAATAATCCAGTGGTGTTAAATCACACTTATTTAACAGCTGAATTTCGTGAAATGATGCGATCGGGAAATTTGGTTTGCAATAAATTGATCGTTTCGTTGGCTGTGTGACATGTGGAACCGTCCTGTTGAAACCACATGTTTGTGATATCGATGTCACCAATAATAGGCCAAAATTGAGATGTTAACATCTTGCGATAGCGTGATCCATTGACCGTTACCGCATTTCCAGCCTCATCTTCGAAAAAAAACGGCCCAATCACGCCTCCAGACCACATAGCGCACCATACAGTGACACGTTGAGCATGCAAAGGCTTCTCAATAATCGCTTTAGGATTTTCAGAAGCCCAAATGCGGCAATTTTGCTTGTTGACGTACCCTGACAAGTAAAAACGGGCTTCGTCTGAAAAAATGTATTTTTCAGAAAAACCAGCGGGCTGTTCCTGAATGAATTGAGCGAATCTACGGCGATGTGAATGGTCGGTCAGCTTCAATTCCTGCACCAGTTGAACCTTGTAAGGCTTCAAAGCCAAATCCTTACGCAAAATTCGCCATGGGGTGGTTTTGGATAACCCCAATTGTTGAGAACGTCGAGGAATTGACAAATTTGGATCTTCTTCAACACTGTGGCTTACGGCTGCGATGTTTTTAGGTTGAACGACCCGGTCGAACACGCGTTGGTGTTGGCACATTTTGTACCGAGCCTGTCGATTCAAATTTAGCGACCGAATTCTTAAGCGGTCTCAGAAGGACGATTATGTTATCCGAAAATATCACGAATTTTACGAAACGTAACTTTGAAATAATACTAGTTTTTACGGAATTTATCGCGTATATTTAACTTTTTAAATACCCGACGTTTCGAACGCTTTACAGCACTCATGGTCACGGGCGGGACTGAGATGTTCAACGTCCATATGTCATAGTTAACCGCGGTTACCATAGCCTCGTAAGGCCCAAGAAAATTTTTGCTTAGTTTAGATTACGACCCGAAGGTCTTTTTAAAAGGATCAAATTTTATTGATGTTCAGACCCAAACAAAAATATGCAATGTTTTCTTTTGTTGCAGTTTTTATTTTAAATATAGTTTATTAGTGTCTTTATAACTCACCAAAGGACCCATTTGTAAAGTATAGACCTCATATCTTTGGTTCTTTGTAAAGGCCTTTGGGTTAATATTAGATAAGTAGGTACCAAAAATTTACACTATCTGTAGGACTTTGGTTTGTAACGATATAAATAAAAACACAATTTTTATGAAGAAAATCAACATTTATTACAAATTTAAACAATAATACTCTTCACAAGAAGAAGATACTGAATGCATAACATTGCTAAAGTTATGCCAATATAATAGATATATGCAATTCATTGGTAGTGAGACCAAGGCACTTGCCATATTTTGATAAGAAAGTTTGATTAGTTTTCAATACTATTAGCTTCATTATTTCGTCATCGATATAGAGTTTAAAGTAATCAAATTTATTGGTAAATGAATCTGCATCAGTCGGTAGATATGAGGGTTCTATACGCGAAATAACGCGGATTAAAATTCTTCATTGACCACTCACAACGTCTCACATCAGATTAAGATGACGCTGGCATGTTCCTACTATTGGTTACCCTTCGCGATGTAATTCCGCGTGAATGTCGCATGGCTTCACGTTGTTGCATGACACGATCTCATCCTTTTCTTTGTAATGAAGGTGCGGGAGTCATATCTTTGTCGGAAAGTTCTGACTGAGAATTTGAATCACTTGATTCCAATACCGATCTCTTGGCACTCGAGGCACTGAAACTGACAAATCTTTATCTCGTGATAACACACTGCCTGTGTGAAATGCCTGCCATCAGCCCATCATCAATTTCATTGATATCAGCTGCTTCATCGTCAAATTCAGAAACAAGTAAATCAACTATTTGTTGTTCATTTACTCCTGAAAAAAAGTAATTTTTTTGTTAATTAAATATAGACTAGAAACAATAATAATATTTGGTACCTACCTAAATAAATTTTCAAAAAAAGTATTTTAGTTTAACTCATTAACTTAACTGTGTGCACTTCATCTTAAGTAAACATAATAACTCAAAGACCTTCGTATAGGTCTAAAATAATACGAGCTTTTTGGTATAAAATCCCGCGGTACTTTTTATAGTATCAAAAAGTTTGGTTTAATTAAATGCATCATTTTCGATAGTAAAATGAAAAAAGTATTTAATATAATTACGGAAAACATATAGCCACACATATGTTTGTATACGAAACCGTGCTGATATGACTGATCACAAGGATAAAGAAAGATTTACTCCTAAAGTCAGCCATCGTGTCGAAAAAGAAATGGCGTCACAAGGTCAATTTTAAACCAATAATCACGACTTCCGGTAACCGATTAAATAGGTCTTCGAGGTTCGTCTTAAATGTCAAATATTTATTTGGCGGTCCATTTGAATTCGAAAAACGTGATTTTAAAATTGAACCTTTTTAAAGGACTTGGGCCTGCATGAAGAAGTAATCATATTTGATGCTGGTTCTGAACACACATATTATTTATTCCTTTAAAAAGGACTTTGGGCCTTAGGAGGATAGATTAAAATTTAATTTTTGTTCCGATCTATACAGTATGAACTTATGGTATCTTGAAGTCTTGCAGTTGTATGCTTGGGTTGGGATTTAATTTTATTTATTATAGGATCCCAAGCAGATGGTAGCACCCAGCCATCTTCTCTATTGAAATTAGGATGTTTTTTGATTTCAATAGCCTCGCGAATCATCCTTGGAAGGAATCGGTGTTCTTTAGCGAGGATTTGCGGTCTATCAAATCTGATGTAGTGACGGGGGCGATCCTGTACGTGTTCACAGACTGCAGACTTCCCGGAACGTCGATTCTTCACATCAGCTATATGTTCTTAAACGCGGGTTTTTATTGATCTTTTAGTTTGTCCTATGTAGGAGAGACGTTGGACATCTCAGTCCCGCCCGTGACCATGAGTGCTGTAAAGCGTTCGAAACGTCGGGTATATAAAAAGTTAAATATACGCGATAAATTCCGTAAAAACTAGTATGATTTCAATGTGTAGTGTTCGCGTAAATATAAGAAATAATTATGAAACGTAACTTTAACAGAACCACCATATTCATAGTGGATTTTTATAATTTTAATGCGATTTTCGAGCGAAATTGAATTCAATGTAGCAATTGCCAAAGCATCTACTACGAATAGGTCAAAAAACTAAATGTCAAAACTGTCATGTTGTTGGTGTTGCCCCAATTGAAAAACAAAGTTCTTGTTGAAAAACCCATTATGTATGCGTTTTCCAATACGCAAGCAAAGCCGTACTGAGCAAAGGATATACGAAGATTTCGTTTCACAAAATGGCGGTGTGGAGTTCCGTATTTTTATAATTCTTCAATAGCAACTTTTGTGTTATTTTGCGGGAAATAAGAACTATTTCATCATAATAGTTGAAATAATATGCACTAGATGGCATCAAATAAGCAATATCGTATTTTTCATACTGTATAGATCGGAACAAAAGTTAAATTTTAATCTATGGTAACCGCGGTTAACTATGACATATGGACGTTGAACATCTCAGTCGCGCCCATGACAATGAGTGCTGTAAAGCGTTCGAATCGTCGGGTATTTAAAAAGTTAAATATACGCGATAAATTCCGTAAAAACTAGTATTATTTCAATGTGTAGTGTTCGCGTAAATATAAGAAATCATTATGTAAACCAGTACGGAATGGTAATTGCAAATAAAATACGCCGATTAGAAGATCTAAAGACCAAGCGCGCAAGATATCTAACAGCCTTAAATTTCTTGAAGAGATGCCGAGACCATAATCTCATTCCTACGTGTGTCAAAATATCAACCAAAAAGGACATTCGAGAAAGCGCTAAGATCTTAAATCAGGCGGATCTTTTAGCTTGTCCTATGTAGGAGAGACCAACACTGTGACATCCTACATAGGGTAGGAGAGACCACATTCACAATCAAGCTTGTACACTCCTGCATCTTGCAGTGGGACATTACACTTGACTGATGGTAAAAACTGACCAATCTTCTTCAGCGGCTTGAAGTATGTTTCGATGGAAGCGCGCTTCAAGATGTAGCTAATCTTGTCAGTGACTCCTATAACATATGGCAGTACAGCAGGTACACGCTCGACTGTGGACAGCTTCACTCGTTCACTGTGACGTAGGCACGGGACTCGAAGCTTGTTGTCATACAAAACTTGCTTGACATGGTGGAGCTCGGCAGCCAGGTGTTTACTGTCACAGATCCCTCTTGCTCTCTGAAACAAAGATTTATCCACGGTAGCTAACTGTGAAGGATGGTGGTGAGAATCACCGTTTAAATATCTATCTGTATGGGTCTTTTTTTCTATACATAATATGGCTCAAGGTGTTATCAGGATTCCGAATTACTAACACATCTAGAAAAGCTAAGGAATTGTTTGCCTCTAACTCCATTGTGAACTGAATTTTAGAATTTATAGAGTTAAGATGGTCTAAAAATGCAGTTACTTTATCTAAAGGTAGAATTGTGAAAGTGTCGTCTACGTACCGCCTGTAGAATCTTGGATTTATGGGAGAACTAAGCAGGGCTTTCTCCTCAAAGTCTTCCATGAATATGTCGGCGACAATGGGAGATACAGGTGAGCCCATCGCCACACCAAATTACTTGCTTGTAGAACTCCTTCTTCCACAATAGGTAGCCAGATGTAAGGCAGTGTCTGAGTAATACTGCATATTCTACGGGCATGTTGTTTTCTTCCAGCCTTCTAGTTACAATTGAGATGCAGTCTTCAACAGGTAAGCATGTAAACAATGACTGCACATCAAAACTGACCATAGTTTCATTGTCTGCCAGATGTAAGTCTTTAATCTCGCTGACAAAATGGTAGGAATCCTTTATGTGTACTCTTGTATGTCCCCTGAGCGGTGAGAGTATTTTCGCTAAGTTTTGAGCCAATCTGTAAGTTGGTGAATCAATTTGGCTCCCTATGGGACGTAATGGAGCATTGGGCTTGTGTATTTTTGGTAACCCATACAATTTTGGTGATTTGGCGCACGTAGGTATTATCCATTTTACGTCCAGATTTAATTTTTCGGAGTGTTTATGAGGTCACTAGTTGTTTTTAGTGTGCTATTTGTTGGGTCGTTTTTAACCTTTTTATAAGTACTTACATCCGACAAAAGTTCTTGTATTTTAGAATTATAATCTGACGTATCCATGACTACCGTGGCGTTTCCCTTATCTGCGCGGAGAATCGTAAATTCTGGTTTATTGCGTAGGTTCTTTAACGCTATAAATTCGTCTTTGGGAAGATTCGGTTTAGGCACTGAACATCGACGTAACATAGACGAAATGTATTGACGTATCGCCTCCAAATCTTCTTTACGCATATTGTTTTTAAATGAACAGTCCTCGACACTACAGATAATTTCTTCGTACGGTAATTTGCGGGGTGTAATAGCAAAGTTGAGGCCTTTGGATAAAACCCTAACTGCCTTATTAAAAAAAATTGCTTATTCCAATCTTAATTCGAAGTTACACTTGGACTAGCTAATCTCAGAGTAACTGACTATTTACTTCGTTATTACAATGTTATTAATAAGCATGGAGTAACCTCGGATTAACTATACATTCCTTACGCCGGGATTAAGGCTTGCGCTATGGCAATCCACTTATTTTAAAAGTAAAAAAGAGTGAGTCAGTGAATGATTAGTGAATGAATTCAATGCTTGATGATGACATTAATGACAGTGATAGGTAATATTTTGAGTTTGACGAGAGATAAATGTTACGGGTTGTTCCTTGTTCCTCGTGTTGTTTTCGGAATCGGTGGAAAAACTAAGTTCTAAATATAATCATTTTTAATATTATTTGTAACGAAATTTTAGAATTAAGAAAAGAGCGTGAAGGGCAAAATTAATTAAATAACCATTTTCGTTTTGTTTTTTGGGGATAAATAAAATCTTTTGTACATGTAATTATTGTATATTTATTTAAAAAATCGTTAATAAATGCTGCCCGAACAGAATTTCCTCTAACGGAGTGATTTACTAATTGTGTGACTGATATATTTTCATCATCTCCTTATACTACATCCTTAAGCAGATTTTGCTTTTGCATTGCAATGTATATATTGTTTTGTATGTTCTTATTTAGTATTAAGTCCTCGCAGTAAACACCGAAACCTTTGCTTCCCTCCAAAGCATTGTTCTACAGTGTAACGGGGCCACCAGATGTGCGTCCGGTTGTACATTCTTCCTTTTGTTTATTAGGACGCAGGATAGGAGTGTATAAATAAGAAGTACAAGCATAACCAGAATCTCGGAGAAGTCTGCCTTTAAATTCTGACTGCTCAAACATTTGTTTTAATGCGACGATAATTAAATATTCTTGAGTCATGTGTGCTGCCTTGCCAATGTGCCACTGTATCCATGAACTCTAAATTTGCATTTGACACAACCTGGAACAAAGCACTCATAACTTCTTTAATATGAAGTAATAGATTGAGGTGATTGTATTGAATCTGAGAAAATAACTAAGTACCTATACGGCAGAGATGGGCTAGCTAGGTGCTATAAAACTTACTTGCACATTTATTGAACTGTATCCTTTCCTGTTTATGTAGTATTGTCCGATATTTTCAGCGACTTTCGGGATTAGAATATGAAATAACAATCAATAGCCCCAAGCACTTGTCTAAATCCACATAATGAAAAAAACCTGCAATCACTTTGTTCTGCTCCACATCACTTCTTGGCATTTTAATCCATTATGCTGTTTTTGTTACTAGTGCTTACAACTTATGAATTTAACACGGGTAACAACGCGCGTAAAAGTAAAGTTTTACAAAATGTCAAAATATGCGACTAGTCTATGCTTACTCAGTCGTTAAACTAGGTACCGCCAAGGATTA